TTCAGACGTGTGCTCTTCCGATCTCCCCAAAACCCCAAAACCCCATAAGGAATTTGTTCATTTAGTAATCTTTGAGAGTGTAGAAATTAATTCCAAATATGCAATATAACATATGATCAACTGTTTTTAACTTTAGATTCCTCACTGGGAGAAATCTTCTCGATAATTTTCTTAAGTAAGTGAAGTGGGAGCCAGCATATAGCTGTAATCACGATAACTTTTAGCAAGAAGTCTGTTGTAAGTGCCGATACATCAAAGTAGTTTCTGAAGAATACAATACTGGAGACATAGCAGAAAATAGTAATTAAGACAGACATGATCATCTTCTTCTTTACTCTGTTAACTTCAGTGAATACATTCAAGATCTCAATGAAAATAAGTGAAGAGAATGTGATAGAGACAATGTTGACGAATGAGTCATGGAAGAGTATGATTGATAGGAGCATAATAACACAACCCTATAAATAACATTATAAATGAAATAAAGTTACCTAGTAAATAGATTTCCACACCCAAATCAAGAAGGTCTTGAAGTTAAGTGATCTACCTTTCTAGAGAGATTTGTACAGAGGTGGGAAACTCATGACTGCTTTTAGGTCTACATCTTCATCAAGGACTAAGGCAAAGACTGGTAGTGAGGTATAAATAGTTGTATATCCCATCATCAAGTAGCCGTTGTAAATTGGAATTGATACAAAGTAGAAGATAATGGAGAACACAGCCTGGATAATAGAAATAATGAGTCCTCTGTGAATAACGAATTGTGCTAAAACAGCTGATCTCTTGTAAGATAGTCTACCATGCCATAAGATAAGATGGGTAAGGTTCTTAAATTGAAGGATTGAAAAGTCAGCTGCTAATGAAGCCTGCATACCCTCCTTTCCGACAATACCAATGCCGACATCTGCTACTTAAATCATACCAACATCATTACCTCCATCTCCAACACATGCTATTCTTCTCTTAGTGTAAAATTAGATTTTCTTAGCTACAATAGCCTTTTAAGTTGGACTGCATCTACAAATACAAACAGATGGAGCATTTTTGGCGACTTCAAAGAATTTTTCCTCCACATTAGGTCTTGAGAGAACTACACTCAGAGTTGTGCCATCAATGATTAGCATAGAATCATTTATCTTTCTTTCAAGTTCATTCAGAGCTAGCATCACATTAGAGGCTTAAGTCATATCTTTCATCTCATATACTCTTTATCTTTTTCCTTGTAATCCGGCAGAGATAGCTATACATTTGGCAGTTTCAATTTTATCTCCAGTTAGCATCCAAACCTGAATACCAGCAGATCTCAAAGTTTCAATAGTCCTCATTACATCGTCTTAGAGTTTATCTTCAACTCCAGTTACTCCAAGATAATCCATTTCTTCCTCAATACTTTCAATAGCTTAAGTGGTCAATTATTCTCTATCGCTCAATGAAGCTCTTGCCCTCTTATACTTCTTGTCAAAATCCTCATATTGTTTGTCAGACATCAATTTCTAGCTGATAACTAATGTTCTTAAACCTTCCATTGCCAAGTTTTCACAAGATTCCACTAATGATGCTCTTTGATTAGGTCTGACCTTTTTTTCCATCACAGTTTCAGCTCCCTTTAAGTAGAACATAATCTTACTAGACTTGCGATGTCTAACTATAATACCCATTCTCTTGCTTTCTGAACTGAAAGGGAAATTAGCCAAGATATCATATTCCTCATAGTCCTAATTAGGATTCATAATCTTAATATACTATTCCTCTCTAGATACAAGATTCATTTCTAATGAATCAGCGAACTTAACAAGAGCTACTTCATCAGGTGATGATGCTTAAAATTCTTTTTTAGTTGGATTCTATTCATCTGGGTAAGTGGGTGTTACATTATGGCAGAGTGAGAGAGCCAAAATAAGATCTCTAACTATATAGTGCTGCTCTCTTCTCTTTTTCCTATTAGAATCTGGCTGGACCTTCTTCTTTAGATTTTTTATTCTGATAGAGTTATTGATTGATGGATACATCTGCTCATGATCATTTTAAAAGCTTTATTCCAAATCTCCGCAAGGCCCACTTGAATCTCTGCAACTTTGTCTTAATAATTCCTGCATGTCTTTCAGAGTCTCCTCAGTGAAAGAAGCGTGCTCCATTGCAATCTTTTTGAAGATCATGTCATTCTAAGTTAATGTTCCAGTTTTATCAGATAACAAGAATTAGATTCTTCCAAGTTCCTCAGGTATGGTAGAGTTTCTAGCAATGGTGCCATCTATAGTAGAATCATGAGATATGCCATAAGAATAATAGATTTTGGCTAGATCTAGATTAACTCTTAAACTGATGGGGATAATTGAAGCTAGTAATAGCACAAATCTGAAGTACTTGAAGTACCAAGATCCAACGAATCCATCCAAGACAATAATAATTGCTGCAATCAAAAGCATCAGTACAAAGAGTACCTTTGATAAGAAGTTTATTTCTGAGTCTAGTAAACCTATTTTAGATCTAGGCATCTTGGAGTTCATCTAAGCACGAGTCTCTTTACCAGCATATACTACCATTCCAAGAATAAAGCCTGAGGAGGCAAGTACTGTATTTTGCCATAGAGTATTTTCAAGGGATAAAGGTTCGATCTACTCACTAACCTCATCTTTTAAATAACCTTTGAAGTCGTAAATTTGATCATCAGGAGGCAAAGCTTTAATGAAGCCATTAAAGAAGACTATAGTTTCTGGTGGAGATATCTTTTAAGTTATGGGTACAGCTTTTCTCAACTTCCAATCAGTTTCACCATCCAATTAATCAGTTCTTATGAAAATGGATCCAGTCCTTTCAGTTGTATATAAAAGTATCAAATCAGCAGGGACTCTTTCATTCTAATGCACTTTTACTATTTACCCTACTTTCAAGTCCATAGAATTAATCTATTTGAAACCATTCTTGGTGAGTATTTCATGCTTCTTAAGATTCATTTCCTTGTCTCTTCTATGTCTTTAGTAGTCATCGAATGCTTCCTTACACATAGTAATAAAAAGCACAAACATTAGTGGTGCCAGATAAGTGAACAAGAATCCTATTTATTATTTAAGTCTCAAAATTATATTCTCTTACCGACTCTCAAAAATGGGACTAGCTGCGACAAGGCAATCATAAGAAAGAACAAATTGAAGAAAAATTTGAATTCATGATAGAGAACCACGGGGATAAACGTCAATATTGAGTATTTTTAGTTGTTTATCTTGTTAGGTGAGAAGTATCTTGGTTCCGAAACTCCATTCATCCAGAGTGTTCTTCGCTAATAGATTATAAATATTGATCGATTTGATACCTCTCTTGATATGGTCATTCCGCAGTATCTTTGAAATTTGTACCAGCAACTGAATTATTCCTAAATGGAGTAAAGTCAATATAGAAAAATTCGTTGACAGAAATATCATATATGAATAAAATAAGTGTGTATTATTTACCCTATCTTCATCATCTTGGTTCTATAGGTAAGTTATGGTAAAAGCAAAGAATATTTACCTAGTTTTTGTTGATAAGAGGAGTTCGATACTGCTGATCCTAGCCTCCACCGATGCTCAAAATAGCATCATTACTACTCAATCCTTTTGAAGAACTCATATTTATAATTATTTTGATTTAATTCCTTCAAACATTAGAATATATAAGCACGGGGTTTTGGGGTTTTGGGGTTTTGGGGAGATCGGAAGAGCACACGTCT